GCTGGTGCATTAGGCCCTTCCTGGTCTCCTCACTGTGGGTATGGGGTTTTGGAGTGGTCCTTGTGCTGACGTAGGCCTAAGAGCTGCTGATGAGGAGCTCCCCAGTTACAGTGGGTCTCGTAGATTTTTGCTGGTAGGATTCATAGACGTTAGGACAACTCTCTTTTCCTTTTGCCTCAGTACCTAAGATTATGAAAAGTTGAGTGAGTTGGCGTTCGCCCTGCAACAGTGATTCTCAAACAGACCTGTTACCATAGTCGCCTTTGGGTTTTTAGAAATACAGATCCTGGGCCCTACTCTGAATATTTTTATTTAATAGGGTGGGATTCAGGAACCTACATTAAAATAAGTGCATGCAGGTGATTCTGGGACATCGCCCCAGACTTCAGAAATAGAATCCGAGGGCAGAGCCCGGGAACTTGTATTTTAATAAACACCCCAGCTAATTGTTACACTCACAGAAGATTGTTGCTCTGGAAGATGTTGTTTGTTTACTGGACACAAGCCAGAGCTCCAGGGCCAGCCTGGCTCCTGGCTGGACGGACAGAAATCTGATTTTAAAAACTGCCCCTGGGCCAACTTTGCCATGGCCTTGGCTCTTGTGCACCGCTGGGAACTTTGATGTTGGGCGTAGTCATTTGGGCACTGTCACACAGCAGCCAGCGCACGTTATAGCATGTCCCTCCCCTGCCTGGAACACTCCAAGGCTTCTCACCTCACTTGGAGGAAAAGCCAGAGTTCTTACGGTGCCTTCCAAGGCTCTACAGATCACCCCTCTGCATCGCCTGACCTCATCTACCACTCTCTCCCTCACTCATTTCATGCCAGCTCTGTCGTCCTTGATCTTAAATATGCTAAGCAAGCTTCTCCATCAGGGCCTTTGCCTGCTCTTCTCTCTGTCTGGATCTTTCCCCCAGTTACCCACATGGCTTACTTCCTCACCTCCTTCAGATCTCTGCTCAAATGTCACCGCCTTCCCTGACCTCACTTATTTAATAAAATAGTAGCCACCAACCCCCAGACGCTTTCCTCATTTTTTCTCTGTAACACTTATTACTATTTGAAATGCTAGGTATTTTGCTGTTTATTTTGTTTGTTTGTTTGTCTGTCCCCCCTCCCCTTAACCCTGCACTTCTAGAATCTGAGCTCCATAAGGGTAGGGCTTTTGCCTTCTCTTGCCACTGGTATAACACCCACATCTAGCAGCGCCTGGCACATGGAATGCTCACTAAATTTATTGAATGATTGTCTCTGTTTGCTTCTTTCTTATTTACCAAGTGAGTATTGGCCTAGGAGGAAGGTGTGACAAGGCCAGGTCAGTTTCCTTGGTCTCCAGGAGGAATGTACCCAAATCATCCCAAAGAGAGGAGACTTCTGCTTTGTGAAAACATCCAGAACAGAAAAATTATGAAAGAGGCAGAGGGAACAGTGAAAGCCAGAGATTAATTCAAAGTCAAGTTCAGCTTTGAAGGCCTTATTCTGTGCCAGTCTTGGGGCCAGACAGATGAGACCTCGGTCCTTATTGAGAGCTTCCTGGGAAGTGGGTGGAGTGGCTCATCAAGAGCGAAGGCCAACGAAGATGGTAAGTGTCTGACAGACCAGTGAGCACATCATCCCTGGAGGATCCCGGGAGGAGTGCCTTCATCTGGCACGGGTGCAGAGAAGGCTTTCTGGAAGAGATGATACTTGAGCTGATTCTTGCTTAATCACCATTAGTTTTCTACCTGAAAACTCCAGCTGGCTGTGTAAAGCAGCTATTCTTTAGGAGCCTGTGGAGGGATAGGATCATTTCCACATTCATGCCAAGGCCAGGCTTCCCCCAGGGACCTGGTACCTGCAGCCCTGCCAGGTCGCCCCACGGCTCCCACTCACATTCCTGAGGTGCAGCAGAGGGGCCTGGCGGATCTCAGCTGAAAGCGGGGCTGGGGATGTCAAGGCAGAGAGCTTTTCTTTCCTTTTACCCCCTCTTGATATAAAACTTCAAGGTCTTCTGATTTTCTGCACACATTTCCATCCTAACTGTGTTTGATCGTTTGCTTAAATAAGATCCTTATGGTGTGACTGTTGCCAGCAGCACTGTTTGAAACCTGTTAGCTGAAACAAAAAGCATTCTCTGAGGGAAATGAAAGGCCTGACTTTTGAAATCTAAGCGTTCCTGTCCATCTGTCTTTTTTCAAATGGCCTCAATTTAAGCTCTTAAATGTGCTCTGAGTGCCCCTTCTACTAAGAATATTCTGGGTAATGTTATGATTTTTCCCCCAGCTACAATTACCCCGGCTCCAGGACTAACAGCTTGAAATGCTGTTGTCTGTGAGCCAGGAGAAATGTGAGTTACAGGCTTCTTGAAAATTCCTGGCCCCCAGTCTGCAAGAGAGATGGACTCTTGTGTCTAATCAGGTCGCCTTTAAATGAAAGCCAGTTGGGGCAGGTCTTCCAGGCTCACAGGAAGGTAATGGTTGTTTAACCGTGGAAACCAAGGTCAGACCTTTGAGTGTGCTGAGGAGTCTCAGAGGGAGCATGGAGGGAGAAGAAAGGGAATTAAGAGTTCTACTTTTCCACTTCCCGGCAATGGCAGTACCAAGCCTGTTGGTTAATAATGGTGGCTGCAGCACCCTTCAACTGTACCTTTGTCTCTGAGATCTGGTGGGAGGCCTTTGGAGGGTTTTGTTAGATTTTTTTTTTTTTAATGCTTAGGTGTCACTCAGCAGAAAAAGCAGAAAAGAACTCCATCTCTCCTGGTTTTGAGGACCACCAGCAGAATTCCTATGGGTCCTTTCTTCTCCATCCTGTGCTGTAAGGGTTCAGTCTGTCAACAAGCATTTACTGAGCACCGACTCTCTGCTAGGTACTAGGGGCAGAAGGGCAAACTGCACAGGTTCTCTTCTCTCAAGGGACTTGCAGTCTAGGATAGGGAACAGTAAGGATATTATAGACACAAGAATTGACATCTGTATAGGGAGGAGGGAGTGGTTGCTTCTGTTTGTGGGAAGAGGAGAATGCAGGAACTCATTCATCCAATATTTTTTATTTTTTAAATGTGTTTGAGCATGTGGTTGAGTGCTAGGTGCTGGGCAAGCAGTGAAAAGCAAGACAGAAAAGGACTATTCCCTCTTAGCACTTCAGTTCTAGACTTGATTGTCTTAATTAAACTTAAAAACTCAGTCCCTCAGCTAGCCACATGTCAAGTACTGAATAGTCATGTGAAGCTAATGGCTACCATTTTCGATGGCGCAGATGTAGAACATTTCTGTCGCTGTAGAAAGTTCTGTTGGGCAACAGTGTTTTAGAGGGGAGAACAAGACAAGTCACAGGAACAAGAAGTGACATGCCAGCCCAGGCTCAGGAAGGGAGAGGCCTCTCTGTGAGAAGGTGAGGGTGTCCAGCATCAGCTTCACACTGTCTCCAAGTCAGATGGTGTCTCAGGCTGTTCGTAGACTCTCCTGTGCTGTGTGCACAGTCCAGTGTGACCACAAGAGTTGCCTGCTGGCCAAGAGGGCAGAAGGGAGTGTTTCATTTCATTCTTGCAAATTCTGTACCAACGCTGTAGTGGCAAGTTGGGGGAATGGTTGGCTTGGAAATAATGGCTTCCAAAGATCCCTGCAGCTTTGGGGGAGGCAAGGGGGAACTGCTTCCCGAAGGCCCTTTTGGGACATTGAGCTCGGAGACTCTTCCCCTACTTACCCGGTGTGGCCCATCAGCCAGGAAAGCTAGAACTTCTCTGTCTGCATGCTGAAGAGGAAGTCACCTAGCTTATCTGGTTTCATACTTGCCGTGATTTGCTGACTTAGCTGCCTGGTGGAGCATCACTTACCAAGAAGAAAGGTGTTTGTGCACAGGGTTCATCAAAGCTGAGGTTCAGGAGATGGTGATTATACCTGAATTAAAGTTCTCTCTCTCTCTCACTCACTCTCTCACTCTCTCTCTCTCACTCTCATGTCAGTCTAAAATCTACAGTTTCTTTTGTGTCCTCAGTGATGTGAAGGTTTGCTGTCAGCAGGGGAAATGGGAAAGGCAGTTTGGGTTTCTTACAATGGAAACATTGAGATTTTTATGCCCAAGAGCGTAAAGGACTTTTTCCAAATTCCGTATTGTCGTCTTCTCCTCTTTACTCTGTCGCACCTTTTTAATTCCACTTCTTTTCTCTGAACACACAGCCCTCTGAACCCCACCTGCAAGAATTAACGAGCAGATCTTTCCCTTATAACCGCCTTCCCAGTTCTTTCTCTGTGATTAAGTGCTTTCCTGATGTGGCAAAATACATTTTAAAAAATGCAACAAGTCTTTGGACTGGAAAAAGAGAGGCTGGTTCTCATTACTTAGCAGCCTTTATATGTGTGCACAGCCCTTGGATGTTGGAAAAGCTGCCCTTCTGTTCATGTGGGGAGCTCGATCGCTCGGGTTTTCTAATGTAATCAGTGTTTCCTAGTGGAGCTGAGTCCCTTGCCTGCTACCAATAACTGACAGCTCTCTTCTTAGTAGTTACTTGTGTAAGAAGGTCTTTGGAGTGAAAGTTTGTCTAGAGCTGCCACCAGGTCGGGGAGGGGAGAGGGGCATCTGTTTATCAATACAGCTTGAGAACAAAAGAAAATTAGAAAAAGTGAAAGAGCTAACATTTGTTGAACACTTATCTATACGCCAAGCTCTATTCTAGGCACTTGATACACTCTTCTCCTTTGCTCCTCACTACAATCCTCTGGATAGCAAATAGTAGCCTCATTTTACACATGAGGAAATTAGGCTCAGAGAAGTCAAACCACTGCTGAAAGTACACAGCTTGTGAGAGGTGGAGCGTGGGGTTTATACCCCAGTCTACTTGCTTTTGAAACCCTTCCACTGTAGACTTCGAGAAAGCCCTGTTTGTTGACAGGTCCTGGAAAAATCTTAGCTGTAGGTAGTAACTTTTCTTCTGAAATTTCAGACAGCTGGGACTGGGACTCATTGTTCCCAGCCATGTCTCCCTGGAATAATTCATGTTATCTCTGTCTCCTTCTTCCCTCTAGGTCACCATGGAGTAACAAGTACGACCCTCCATTGGAAGATGGGGCCATGCCATCTGCTCGGCTGAGAAAGCTGGAGGTGGAAGCCAACAATGCCTTTGACCAGTATCGAGACCTGTGAGTTACTTACTCTCTTCTGCCCTTTAGCTCTCAATCTTGAGGAGTAAAATCATTAATAAGAGTGACTAGGCCAAGCATTCTCCCTCAAACCTATTACGTGGCTCCCCTAACTAACTGAAATTCTGCACCACCGACAGCAGAATGCTGGGCACTCATTTGATGATAATGGGTCGGTAATGAGATGACTCGGCGGTAGAATGCTACCACATGCAGGCCCGATTGTGTGTTACTGCACGTCATGATTCACAGTAACGGTGGGTACCACTGGTATGACACCTGCTGTGTGCTGGACATGGTGCCTGTACTTTATACACATTGTCTCGAATCCTCACAAGCATGGTAGCTATTTTAGTTTCCATTTTTCAGATGAAGAAATTAAGGCTCGGAAAGATTAAGGTGCTTGTCCAAAGTAAGAAACGGAGTCCCAGAATCATACTCAGCTCTGTCTGTCACTACAAGCCTGTCTGTTTTTCACTGAGCCACATGCCCCAGCTCAGTTGTAGCCTGGAGCTCAGGGGTCCTTATTCCAGACCAGGCGCCCAGGCAAGACTATTTCAGGTCCTTACTTGGTGGGACCTTGGCAGCCTCTCTCTGAACTAATCATTGCTGAATCCTCAGTTGGTCTGAGCCTCAGTCCCTACCTTCAGGAAGTGTTTTTGCTGGGTCTCTTTAGATTCCTACCTCTCCTTTCTGCTCCCATACGATCTTGCCTCCCAGCCACCAAAATAGAAAGAATGGGCACTTAATCAGTTTAGCCAAGGAAAGGCCCCAGAAGGGGTTATCCTCTGAAGTTGTTTGTTTATTTTGTTTTTTGTGGTAAATATGTGTGTGTATATTTATATATATAAAACAATTGCCATTTCAGCATTCTTCACGTGTACAATTCAGTGACATTAATTATATTCATCGTGTTATGCAACTACCACCATTATCTGTTTACAAATTTTTTCCTTCACCCTTAACAGAAGCAGTGAGTTCCCTTTCCCCCTCTTTCCTACCAGTCCCTGGTAACCACTAATGACATATTTTTATTTTGACTCAGCAGAGTCTCATTTTAAATTACATCCATCCTGAAAATATAGCAAAACATAAACTATGTAATACTAATTCAGATGTCTTCAGTCATCTAGGATGGGTCTGCAAACTTTCTTATAAAGGGTCAGAAACTAAGCATTTTAGGCTTTGGAGGCCACATACATTTGTTTAACACTCCTTTAAAAACCACTTTTAGCTCTTGAGTCTTCAGGTGGGCAGGATTTGCGCTAGGGCTGCACTTTGTCCACCCCTGATCTAGGCAGGAAAGTGGAAATAAGAGAGACAAAGTGCCTTAGCAGCTGAAACAGTTGTCAAAAGTTGTTGCTGTTAGACTTGGTGTGACAATTGCGGGTCTCCACTTTGCAGACTGACCAGTTTCTCTCATAGCAGACTTGATGTAACACATTTAATAAGAAAATTCTCTATTTCCCTGAGGAAGAGTGATAATTCTCAGTATGACAGACAAAAAACCCTACAACACTTAAGCAAATGAACCAAATACAAAAGCACAACTCTAAGGAAATGGTGGATGAATGGCCTTAAACATTCTGGTAGCCCCAATATCTCTGTGCAGTATAGCCCAGTGCAATACTTAAAGTTTATAATGATAATAAAAATAACTATCATTTTTATCTTCCGTATCTATCATGTACCAGTATTTTAATTTTTATTGTGGTGAAATAGATATAACTAAATATTCATCACTTCAGTTGTTTTTACTTATACAATTCAGTGATATTAATTATTTTCACTGTGTTGTGCACCAATCCCCACCATCCGTTTACAGTTACACACATTATCTTTAATCCTTACAAGAACATTTGGGGAAGATAGTTTTTTTCGTCTTTACAGATAAGGAAACTGGGGCTCCAAGAGGTTAAATGACTTGCACAAGTCCACAGGATGTAGAGGTGAAAAGCTAAGATTTGGATCCATATTTGACTTGAAGCTTCCACAAATTATTGGTGTTTGTGATTAAAATAAGTTTCATTGTTTAAAGGGTTCTTATATCTAGAACTTTCCCTCATTGTAAAACAGCTCCTTCTCCAGTGAAACTAAGAAATTGACTCATTTGCTATATTGTAGTTTATTTGTAGTTACTTTTTACTGTCTCCTTTTACTTGGCCATGTAGTCAAGAAGCCAATCCAGCTATTAAACAATATTCCCAAATGGAGTCAGTTTCATATCATAGTAATAATATAGATAATAAAATAACCATGATGATAATATAGTTACCAACCAGTGACTGTCTGAGCACTGTGTTAATAGCTTCATGGTCATTCTCTCATTTAATCTTCCCAGCAACCCGGTGAGATAGGGTTATCCCCCTTTAGAAATGAGTTAACATATTCAGAGAGGTTAAATAACTTGTCCAACTTGGCAGAGCCAGCAAGTGGTGGAGCTGGGATATAAAACCACCATTCTCCAACTCTAGAGTCCAAAATTTGCTCATTTTCTTGACAGACATTTGAGGGCTCACCTGCTCAGTCCTGAGATTGCAGCTGCGTACATGCCAGACAAGGTCCCTGCCCCCATGGTGCTCCCATTGTGGAAGGACAGACAGTAGATGAATGCTCAAGTCACTGCTGCAGTGACTGCGTGACAGGGAGTGACTTGCTGCTTTAAGTAAAGTGGTCGTGGACGGCCTTTCGAGGAGAAAATGGCAGAGCTGAGGTCTGGCATCAGGAAGGAGCCACCGTGCCCTGGTCCAGCAGAGGGCTGGTGTGCATGGGCCTCCAAGGTAGGAGCAGGCGGGGCCCATGCAAGGCTGCAGGCACCTCCATCCGCCAACAAGTGTACACCTTCAGACTCTGAAATTGGAAGGTGGATGTGAAAGCTGAGTTTAGGCATATTTGGTCCCTTTTGTAAGTTTACCTTGGTAACATTCCCTGTGGGCCATCTCAATACACCAGGAACACCGCTGACCTTTCAGCTAAGCTTGAAGTGGAAGTGAAAGTTTCCCCTTTGAGAATGTTAGGTAGATTTCCACTCTCGAGGAGAGCTGGCCTATTTTGTCCTATAAGCCTGAGGGGCTTGCCTGGCCTCAGCCCCTTCTCTTCGGGGACTGCATTCAGTGTTTTTATTAATGGGCTACATGCTTAGAATTGGAGGTGGGTGGGAAGGTTCTGATTTTTTTTTAATAGACTGAAATGTTTGGGTTGTAATGACCTTAATAAAATGATTCAGACATGTTGCCTTATGCAGCCATTTAGGGCCGGACCTGAGGAAAAACGTAATTTTGTCTCTGACTTTTCCTCTCTCCCTTTCTCTTCCTTCCATCTCACTTGAACACATATATAACAACATTTGGACAGTCTTAAGCTTGTGCCTTTTTTGGGTCTTGATTGGCCTGTTATCGTGAGCATTCCCCCATTATCATTAACCAAAACCAAACCTGTTGCTGTCAAGTCGATTCTGACTCATAGCGACCTTTTAGGACAGAGTAGAACTGTCCCATAGGGTTTCCAAGGCTGTAATCTTTACAGAAGCACACTGCCACATCTTTCTCCCACAGAGCGGCTGGTGGATTCTAATAGCCGACCTTTTGGTTAGCAGCCAGGTACTTAACCATTGCACCATGACGGCTTCTTGTGTTATCGTTAAACACTCCTCCAAATAATCATTAATGCTTACAGTAACCCTATAGAATAAGTGGGAATTATCTCATTTAACAGATAATGAAACTGAGGTGGTTAACTAAATGAATAATTTCATTTATAAGGATCACACAAAGCTGGTTCCTATGAGGTGGAGGTTAAAGATGTCCCAAATGTCTAACTTCGCCAAGCTGCCGTATGACTCCATCATCTCTAACATCAACTACTCCCTCTTGCCCCAGTACTCTCCCTTCTGTCTTTGGGTTCCCTAATTTGCTGCAGTGCCTCACAGAACTCACGAACCATGTAAAGGAAACGGCTCATGCAGTTGTGGAGGTGGGAAGGTCCCAAATTTGTAGGTCAGGTGTAGACTTCTTCCTGGCCCTCAGTCTCTACCCAAAGGCACTCAGCTTTCTCCCTCTGTGGGCTGGGAATCCCACTGCGCCGTCTCCTGCGGGTCTCTGCTCCAGGTCTCTCTTTGGTGGTGGTGGGTGCTCCTCTCTGCTCTGGAATTGGCTCTTTTAAGGCAAAACTGACCAATCCCCTCTGTGGGCCACAGATATCTTATTTGCACAGCCCCACCCAATCGCCTGGGTGGGAGTCACAAGACCAAGGCCAGAAAGGCCACACACAAAAGTAGTTAATTGCACTGTATTAACGTACCTAGAAAACTGCAAGAGCTGGGATTCAAACCCTCGGGTGTAACCCTTCACGCTGCCTCCTGAAAAGCCTTAAGTACTATACTTTCTGGGTTAATGTATGTTTTAAAGGTGGCTTTTAAGTCTTAATGACCCATATTTCCGTATGCTTTTAAGTTTGGCTGTACTTTTCTCTGAAGGTAAACTGACCTGCTGGGGTGGGGGTAATTGAGAGAGGGATGATGGGATGAGTTCCTGCCACAGGTCTTGGTGGGGATGCAAGCCCCCAAGTGGGGGATTGAGCCGAGCAACCCTAGACCCTGAGGTTCTATGAATGTTTGTAGTGATAGAATCCCAGGCACAAAGGGTACTATTCTCCCCAGCAACAGCAGCATGCAGCTTCAAAGGGGAAAGGAGGACAGGAGAGAGTGTGGGGTCTCCAGGTGGTGCCCACAGAGGCGGGCAGGGCAGGGAAATCCCTTCATCCCCATGCATTTGAAGAGTACAGGGAGGCCAGGTTCTTCCATGTGACAGGAACCTCAGCCCACTGAAGGGATGGTGGTCAGATCTGTTATTTAGGGCACTGGAGCTGTCAGTTTTAAACCACCCAGTGTTATCAGAATGTACTGAGGAACACTCCCTCCTGAGACCAGATGTGAGGAACATTTTCTCAGCTGGACCACACATGATGAGCCAACCTATTTCTGTTCTAATAATCATGAAAGC